TATTACCGAAAATTCGTCAAAGACTTTGGTCAAATTGCTAAACCCCTTCATCGACTAACTGAAAATAGTAGTCTATTTGACTAGACGCCGGATTGTCACAATACCTTCACAGAGTTAAAAAAAAAACGATTGATCGCGGCACCCATCCTAGCATACCCTCGGGAAAAAGGACAATTCATTTTAGACTGCGGCGCATCTCAACACGGCGCGGGCACCGTGCTATCCCAAGAAGAAGAGAGGGAAGAGAAAGTAATTGCGTATTTTAGTAGGACCTTAGGAAAAGATGAGAAGCTATATAAGGATGATCCTGACGTCAGTTTTCAGTTTGATGATAGACGTTACATGTTAATGTTATCAGTTTTATAATTGTTGTTATAGTTGAGTTGAAATAAATTGTGATATCAAAAACCTGCGTAACAATACATATAGCGTCCAATTCAGTATTACACCAGCGAAGCAAGCACATAGATGTTAATTATCATAACGTAAGAGAGAGGTTTATGGATAATACAATAGACAATTAGTATATTTCAACTAAAGAAAACATAGCAGACATGCTAACGAAGCCAATTGTCAAGGAACTTTATAAATATTTTCTTGAGAAATTTACAAAAATCATCGCTGAGGGAGAGTGTTTAGTATGCAGCTCTGATTTTGTCTATTTTTATTTACACTTGTTGACTAAGTTGTTTAACTAAAGTGTAAAAGGTTTTTTGAATAGTTTTAAGATTAAATAAAAAATATAGAACTCAGAAGCAATATATTTTATTCCCAAATATTCAAAAGAAACATCTACGCATTTTTACGGGACTGATGACATGACATTGCCATCTGGATAAATACATAAGAAGGATAATCTCACCAAATTCAACCATGGCCTTCATCAGAAGGTGTGGCTTGTACGGTGAACTATAAGTTAGACATTAACCCCAACAGAGATCCATCTGGGTCGCAATGGAAGGCGAAAAGACCATCCCACTCATTTTTCACCTAACCTAACTTAACAGAAAATGAGTTCATGTCTGCATTTGTCCAATAGATAGGTACTTGAGAATGATAGATTGCATGGGCATGTCCGTTTTCTTAAAAAGTGTTCCTGAAACACAATCTTCCTTAAATATGTGTTTATTAATTTTGTAATTAACAAATATCCAAGAAATTCTAAAGGCATACGTTTCTTACTAATCTACAAGATTTTATACAGCCTCTTTGAAAATCAAGGAGAAACGATTTGAATTTTAAAACGAGATTACTAATAGTGCATCAGTGCTTCATGCAATCTTCCATGGATTCGCGTTCAGAATTCGATTTGGCCTTATTGGCGAGGTGGAGATGCTGATGGGGGAACGTCTAAAACCCCGGAGCGCTTTCAATGGGATCCCTGATACAGGCGGAATTTTTAAATAAGCCGATGAGTTGGAAGAATAATGGTTTTATTTTCAATTTCGAATCGGTTTAGTTGCTGAAACGCGCTGATTCCTAATTCGTAAATGAAATTACGTAGATATATAAGGGATCAACAGGGAGCTTGATATTCTTAAATTAAAAGTAATAAGTTGGAAAGTGATTTAATGCGACTTTATATATTTTTGTCTTATTTATAGTGTACAGATTTATAGGTACTTAAGTTTTGGAAGAATGAAACTACATATTATAAACTAGAATAAAGATATATAATACTTGGCATTCTATAATATACTCTTCACCGTTTAACAGACCCCCCTTAACCACCTCTTCAATTAATTTTTTTTTCAGAATCAATACACCATTCCCTTTTCCTAAAAATTTCAATTTTATATAGTTTTTAAGAGTTGCGATTTTTTTTAAATATTTCAACCCCTCTTATCCCCCAGTTTTGATTTAGATTTTTTCAGAATCAATAGGCTTCATTCTCTTATAGAGCTTGATTTTTACTAAAAATTTCATGTTGGTATCGTTTTGTTGTCTGATTTTTGTTTGTTTCAGACCCCCTTAACCCTCTAATTTTGTTAAAATCAAATGTTTTTGTCCCCTTACAGAGCTTGATTTTTGCTTAAAAAAATTAATTTGATATTATTTTTCGTTTTTGATTTATGTTTTTTTTTTTTTTAATTTCAACCCCCTTTAAACGCCCCATTTTTATTAGAATTTTTTTCAAATTTAAAGGGATCTCTCCCTTTATTCAGCTTGATTTTTACTTAAAATTTCAAGTTTATATTATTTTTCGTTTTCGAGTTAAAACCCTTATTTTTATTAAGATTTTTTTTTCAGATTTTATAATGGACTCAAAATTTTAATTTAATATCGTTTTCTGTTTCTGTGTTTTTTTCAATATTTAATTTTTACTTGATTTTTTTTTAGAATCAATAGGCTTCATTCCCTTGTAGAGCTTGATTTAAAATTAGTATTTTATGTTGATATCGCTTTTCATTTTTGATTTATGACTTAAATTTTAATTTTCTTTTAAACCCTCTATTTTAAATCAGATTTTTTAAAAATCAATAGATTTTGTCCCCTTATAGACCATGTAAAAATTTCAAAGTAATATCATTTTTTGTTTTTAAGTTATTTTCAATATTTTAACCCTCCATTTTAATTTGTATTTTTTTCATAGAGCTTGATTTTTACTAAAAATTTTATGTTGATATCGCTTTTCGTTTATTGATTTATGATTTTTTTTATTTTTTTTTTATTTCAACCCCTTCTATCCCCCACATTTTTAATCAGATTTTTTTTAAAATTAAAGCTTCTTCTTCTTATAGAGCTTGATTTTTTTCTAAAAATTTCAAGTTAATATCATTTTTTGTTTTTGAGTTGATTTTTATTATTTCAACCCCCCTTAATCCCCCATTTTAATTTAGATTTTTACAGAACCAATAAGCTTCATGCTCTTGTAGAGATTGATTGTTACTAAAAATTTCATGTTGATATCACTTTTAGTTTCTGATTTATGATTTTGTTTTTTAATTTTAACCCCTCCTAATCCCCACATTTTTAATCAGATTTTTTTCCAAAATAAAAGTGCTTTTTCCTCTTATAGAACTTGATTTTTGCTTAAAATTTCAAGTGGATAGATTTTATTGTTTTTGAGTTAGGGTTTTTTTTAATATTCCAATCCCCCTTAACCCCCATTTTTAAAGAGCAGAAAATCCAGTCAAAGATGTTTAGGTTATAACTGACTCCAAACTTACCTGGAATAAGCAAGAAAACTGGAAACATCAATAATAAGCACTTTGCAAAAAAAAAGATTAAACCTAGACATAGTTTGTTGATTATATACCATGATGGTGAGACCAGCAAGTGTTACAAGCAGCTTTGGTTTTGTGGCCAAAGATACAGCAAAGAAATATAATGAGAATTGTCTATCTCGGAATAAAAGGAGTATTTAAAATAAAGCTCCTATCTGCAGTGAAAGCTTTATTAGGCTTGCCATCACTTTACTATGCGATACAGAGAACAACAGTTCCCAAAGATCTGGAAATATGCACGGGTTGTTCTAATTTGAAAGAGCAAATAAATAGATATCCAGTCTGCTGCCCCATTTTGAACGATTTGCCTGCTAAGTCTAATGAGGAAGCTGTTGGAGAATCTAATAAAAAACGGACTTGTAAAGGAAATAGAAGCAAAAGGAGATTTATCACTAAGAGAGTAAGGGTTTAGGAAAAAAATGTCGAGCATACAAGCTGTCGAAACAGTAGTGGAAAAAACAATCAAACACTAAACGGGTGATGATAATAACGGTCGACATTAAAAACGCATTCAATACGGCATCTTGGGAACCGATCATGAAATCACTGTAGGAAAAAGAAACCTACCAAACATCATAGAAGCATGTGTTAGAAATGAGAGCCTACAAGTCAACACTGAAATACCGCAAGGGTCGGTTCTCGAACCTACATTATGGAAAGTACTTTATAACGAAATTTAAAATTTAAAAATGCTCGAAGGCATGAACACAGTGGCCTACACAAATTATCTCGCCATCATAATAGAAGGGATCTGGAAAGGCTTAATCTTGCGATAAAAGAGTCTATAAGATCAAACGCTGGATAAGTATACAACAACTAACCCTCGAACCATAAAAGACGGGAGCATACTATTGTAAATAAAAGGTTTCATAATTTAGTAGAGTTGAAACTTAATATCATCGTTTGACATTATTTAAATTCTTAAAAATATTACAACTTGGACTTTAACTTAGCAGATTGGCATGATATTGTATTTTTTGGCTTAGGAAACAAAATATGTCAAGTTAGTCGGTCTGCTCGGTCGAAGATTTTGATTTTATCCTAAACAAGCAATACTCCTTGATTACTTCATTCAGAGTTCTAATCCTAAATATAAAGGAGATCACCATAACGAAATCCAATGCACAAAGACAGAAACAAACCTGGTATATAGACATAAAGGCACTGGTGTGAGCCCTTAAGGCCATAAGGAACTGCACTGAAGAAACGAGGATATTGTTAGATTAAAAATAAAACCCAGAAGGTCAGAAAAAACACTGGAACTAGAAATAAACTAGAAGAACCAAAAAGTACACTACGAGGTTTCATCAAAAACTAGGTTCGGAGAATTATTAGGAAAATATCCCGAAACAAACACGTGAGAACCTCTTCATAGGAAGACCATGTTCAAAAAGAATAGAAGAGAACTACTCTTTATATGAATTGGAACCAGTTAAGAAGAGTCCACTTTTAAGCAGTTTTATCCATATAAGAAACGGTAACAGATATTGAGTTGCGATTTGCGGCGTTGGAAAATGCGGGAAACCGTATCTGAACCTACACTACGTGCAGGAGTTATTAAAAGTTTATTTATCTATTTTTTTTTTTAGTTTTTATTTTTCATAGAATTTTTAACTTATTCCTATACTCCTCACTTTCTTTGCTTAATATTTCTAATTATCACAATCGTATTTTAGTTCATGCTTTTATGATTACTACGATAATAATGATCAGTTTTGGTACTTCAAATCTACTTCGTATCATGTACATCAAATAAACACTAGATTTACTTACTTAAGATACTCGATGAGGCTGTACGTAGGCGTAAAACGATTCCTACTATGATAGTGTTGATGGCACAATGATATATGGTCCATGACCGCTTGCGTGCGGTATATTTTTTCCAAATTGATAAGTCCGCCCGGTCCAATGGTCGTGAAGTGATGGTCTTCCCCATTATAATCTGATATGAACTGTAAAAAAAAACAAATCTAAATTTCAAAAACAAGAAAATGGAGTTCTACTTAATTAAGCGATACTGTTCCCATGATCCCATGATCAAATCAAAAATCATAAGAGAATTGTATTTAAAAAGTGTTTTGCTAATAAATTTATTGCTACCACCAATAAATTTTTAGCTACAATTAAAAAAATACATTTATGCAACTAAATAAAAGTAGTTTTGTCGCTATACGAAAAAAATTGTTACCGTTGCAAATATTTTTTTTAACATATAGAACCAGCAAAAATAATTTTTTTTAAAGTAGTTTTTAATTACTAAACATTTATTTTTTGTAGCAGAAATTCAAAATATTATTACGTAAATTTCCTATCATAACAATTCGTCTTTTAAGTCCAATAAAAAATATCTTTTAGCAAATGATGATCGGTTTCGTTTGATAGCTTTTTCGTTTGTGCACGAGAAAATTTTTGCGTAATCTCGTTTCGTCGTGGATCGGTTCATCGACACATTCATAATCAAAAGATTTTTTATTTTTCGCTGTTTTAGACCTCTTTGTTTTTTGAATTTAGGTTCTATGTCTAAGGAGGATGTTATTTCTTTAGCATCAATCAATAGATCATTAAAACCTTTATCGGTGCGGTAAGCTTTCAAGAAGTTAAATGATTAAAACACTGAGCATCATCAAAGTTCGGTTTTTAAATAATTTTACTAACAATGTTAACTTTTCTTAAAATATTATACCACAATATAAGAATGCAAATTAACTCAAATTTTTGAAATTTTTTGACCAACGCTGCAGCCAAATTGATACCTTAAAGCAGTTGAATCTAATCTACTAGACCATCGAGTATCCGATAAAGGTTGTAAAGTTAAATTTGTTACTTTAGATAAATTTGATTTCAGAATTGAGTCTCAAGGTAGATGTTTTTACGAAATATTTACTTATTTTGGACACCAGAAATTCCAAAAACTACGAAACCATGCGAAAAGCAAATAAATCATTAAATTGTATATTATTCGTCACTAGAAAATTTTAAAAAATTAATTGCGCGATAAAAAAAATGAGAGCTATCATATTTATCAGTAAGCAAAGTCATCTGTGAACTGTGTGCTGGTCTCACTAAAACACATGAGTTTTGATAACGAGATACTGAACAAAACAAAGGTAAATTCAAACTAAACACAATATATACACCCAAATAAAGAAATTAACATAGTAAAAGTAAAAGATCAGCACAAAAAATTGTTTGTATCAAAAGAGTAACTTTCAACGCCACCCGGTATAATATGAACACAAAAAAAATAGTTTGTATGTTTCAAAACCAACACCTGGTGTACACCAGATTAATCGCAACATTAGTCGCTAGAGGTGTACACAGAAAACGCTCTGAAATAAAAGCACAACTAATATTTGCAAAACACCAGATACAATAAACAAACAAGAATATTCAATCATAAATCGGATTAAAATGTTTAAGAGCTGACTACTTAAATTTAGATCTAATAAACGCAAACATAGAAATAGTTTTAGTTCGATATTTATCAAAATTATCTTCCTTCCTGTATTAACTTACGCCATCTATATGGCTTAAATAATCAAGAACTGCATTTTTTTTTGTAATAGCAAAATGGTTCAACTATTATGACCACCTAATTACTTAATAATTTTTCTAATAGCAAAATTAATTTCGTTAGGAAATTCAGTAATAAAAAAACTTCAAACAGCACAAACGGTATTTCGATACGGTAGTTTATAAGTACACTCTGTAACTAAGGTAAACAGCAGAAGATAATTTTCGGTAATAAGTATTGTAAGATGTTTTCTTGCCTCTAAGAAAATATTACCCTTACTAGTGACACCCTAGGACTCGGAAGTACTCGAGCGCCAGTTTTATTAATGTGGTTTGCTCCACAACACAGGTAGCTTCTAGTGGAGATGACGGAAAAACTCCAGGGGTCTCGTTGATGTAAGACTATACACATAAGAGGGTAACAATAACGGCCTTTAATCGTTATTGTTACGTTTAAAGAATTGTCGAAGCTGAAAGAGAAAAAGGGAAAGGTCGACACAATTATAAGCCAAATTTTTGAAAATTAATACATCTATTGCTTACGAAAGCTAATAACAATAATAAAAATTAAAATATTTCAAAGCCCACCCCCTTATGAGTCGTTATAACCCTGAACAAAAAAAAAATAACAAAAATAAGCGGTTGCGGACGATGGCTTGACAGGTCGGAGCTCAATCAGACGTGATTTAGATAAATATACAGATAAAAGCAAATAACACGGAGTTCTGAATTAAATCGGATTACGGTAGCATTTACTTATGAACAGGGAATATATACGGAAATAGAATTCAATATTAACAATTATGAAAAATAAAATTAATCGGTACCAGGTAACTAGTTTAACTTCCCATCTAATATCCCACCCTTTTGGAACTAAATCAAAGTAAAAGACAAAATGTCACCACGGATAATATCTAATTTCCAGCAGTGTGACGACACAATCACGCATACAAAACACTAGCTAGACATCAGATACTATTTATTTTTTTTGTACGGAACTCAAATAAACGTGTTTTCGGTCGTGACCCCCTTTAAAAAAAAATAATCCACGGATAATGTCTAATCACTAGTAGTGTAGCGACACAATCACGCATACAAAACACTAGTTAGTTTTCAGACAATATTTTCTTTTCTTTTAAACTTTAATCGAAAAACTAATTAAAGGAAAATTAAACTAAATTTTATCACGGATAATACCTAATCACTAGCAGTGTAGCGACACAATCACGCATACAAAACACTAGCTAGGTATCAGATAGTATTTACTTTTCTATACGGAAATCAAAAAAAATGTGTTTTCGGTCGTGACCCCCTTTTAAAAAAAAAATAATCCACGGATAATGTCTAATCACTAGTAGTGTAGCGACACAATCACGCATACAAAACACTAGTTAGTTTTCAGACATTATTTTTTTTATCATTAAATTGATTACGAGTATCACCCTGTATTTAATTTAAAGGAAAGAAAATTGAAATAAAAGAATCAACTACTGTAAAAAAAATTAACCTAGACCTGGCAGCAATTAAATCGTTAAATCTATTTATCTCATTAAATAATTTAATCGTATCCAAAATCAGAAAATAAAATAAAAAAATTAATTCAGTCGAGAAATGAAAATAAATATTTCTAAAAATGTAAAGATATTTAACAGAGCAAAATGCTTTAATATTAATTATTTCGGTATTTCAAATTCAATAGAAAATAAAGCCGGTATAAATCGGAATGTGTCTTTTATTTACTTCCAAAAACAACGCGATAAGAAATCAGTTTTTTTTTACCTGTACTCGGAGAACGGGTTTTGTTTAATCGGAGGCGGCTGGTACTGCTAAGGATTGCTGCTTACTAACTCAAGCGTCGGCGGAAAGATAATGAGATCTGGCCGGTGCAGCTTGTTTTACAGGTGATTTTCGCCACTCGTCGTGCAAACTCGATTATTAATCTAAGATTGAGGTGGGGAAATGCAGGCGATCGTCCGCTGACTTATAAAAAAATTTTGATGGGAAGATTCAATATATAGTAAACGTTTGAAAACTCGAATTTTTAACGTTAAAGCTAAATGATGAATACGAAAAATAAAATAAAAATAATAATTCGGTTTTCCGACGGATCCTATATTTCTTAACTAAATAATAAAAAAAAAGTAACTTCGTTACAGTATGCAACCTATTTTCATAAAATCTAACATTATTGAAAAATACAAAGCGTGAGTCAAGTGGTCTTCAAACTAAACCGGTTATCACCACCATAAATCAATAAATGCAATTGATAACTAAATCTACCTTTGGTAAAAAGTTTCACTTTCTTATAGGTAATTTTGTTTGGCAAAATTGATTTATAGCGTTTTCGAATCTAGTGCACGGTTTGCACTGAGTGCATACGAAAGGTGGGAGATATGTCAATACCAAATTACTTTTCAATCTGAAATGTAACCGGTATCGATATATCGCTCATTTTTTATGTGCACTCCACGCAGGCAGGGCAATGGAGTGCACAAACTAGCCTGGAAACCATCACCACACTAAATTGATACTAGGCACTTATTTGCTGCTTTTCTTACGAGCTTGATTAGCACACAAGACATATTATGCACTTTTACGGTATGTAATTTCAGGGCATTTTCTACACTGACACGGTACGGTAGTAATCACCTACCCTGCTTCCCGCTTAAGACAGAGAATTTGCTACCGGTCTTTTCCTGCCGGCATCTCGCCGTGGGAGAAGGGAGGTCCTTTTGTTTTTGACCAATTAAATCGGATTGTCCACGTGCTAGACAGGTGTATTCTTTTAACGGCCGTTTGTCTATCTTTCAGGGGCGGGCTAAGAAATTTTGTCGATGCGAGTAGTTGAATTATTTATTTAGGCGGAAAATTAAAAACGTTACACTTTTTAGATTAGTTTCTTGTCTGCTGCTGATACTTGTTTCAAGTACAGGTTCAGAATATTGTTCTTATTAATATTTGGCAAAATAGATTCGGGTTTTGAAAAAAATGCGTAATTTTGGCACGATTTTCCAGTTCTTCTTCTCTTTTTCTTTTATTCAGCAAATTTTAGTATCCAGACAATTTCTTCTTTTTTTCTGATATTCTTTATATTGTACAGAAATTAATACATAAGTAAACAAATTGACAAATTATTCATGAAAAATGGAAAGTGTTTTGTCAACATTACTTATTTCAAAATGTATAAATTTTTATAAATAGTAATATTAGTGCTTAACAATTATTCTGTTTGAATTTACTTCAATTAACTATGATTTTAAGAATGCAAGTTTTTGGTTTTTAATGTTTTAATAAATCTAAAATAAAAAATAAATTTTAGATGAATTCAACCTTAATTCACAACACTAAATACAAGTCTGTAAAACTACAAAAAAACTAAAGTTTCAAAAACAGATATCTTTTACCCCATGCACCTTTTCCCTTCGCTAAATTAATTATT